GTTCCCTTCATGCAGGGGGAGGAGGAGAGGGGCGGAAGAGAGAATGCAGGACAACTCCGACCTCCCAGCCCAGCTCGAGGCATGAAAAAGGACACCACCCCCATCCACCCAGCCCACCCCGACCCCCGCCGGTGCATATCCTCCCACTGCAGGATTCCACTTGAAAAGTTCGGCACACACGGAAATCTTCACTTTTGAATGTGCCTACCTGGCTCATGCGGCAAGAGGGTACACAAACCTAACTCCAGATCTACTCAGGTTTTTTTTTATACCAGAGATAGGTGCTTCCACCGGCAAACAGGTTGCGAGTTCAAACCTCCGTGGAATTCAGATGAATCCAATAATGTTAGAAGCTACCCTTTTAACAAGGAAAAAAGAAAGGTAAAAAAGTTAGTTTCGAAAGCGCCGCACCTGACATGTACCTGAGCGACCGAAATCCAAACGCCGATCAACCAAAAGACTTTCCACGTGTCTTTTTTTTTTTCCGCGTCTTACCAACCCATGAACTGTTGAAATACAGACGCTCAGTTGGTTGTACACCCAACCCATGAACTGTTGAAAGTTGAAATACAGACCCAAGTTTGAATCCAGCAGAGGCAATCAAAATGAACAGAATAATGCAATTCTGAATTACCCAGGGCTACAGTCAGTTCCAAGGATTACATTTCACGGCTGTTGCCTTAAAAACAAACAGTATCAAAAACGCCAGCACTGGCCTCCTCGAGCCAACTTCATTTGATGCCTTATAAACCAAGCGCACCATATAATACAGCTTTGACTAGATGACACAACTTCATACGATCCCATGCCAAACACATGCAGTCTCGCAGGGGCAGCACAAAAGCAAAAGCCCGATAAACGTTGTTACATCCCACCATAGAGAACAGTCGATCCGTAGTCTATGACCCCGGCATCTTTCCCAAGACCAGAAGCTCTGCTCATCCTGCTAGAAAGTCAATGTTTAGACTGGCTTACCAAGCACCTCCACTTCTACCAAGCCACTCGTAGCACCCGATATGCATTTAATGCATGCATGTCACACAACACACAAACTCGCACTCTAAACAGCAAAAAGCAGTTCAGCGTTGATCAAAGGCACGTGGGACTGAGAGGGAGAGAGAAGTCGTATCGAAGGGGATCTAAGGAGCCAGGCGATGTTGACATCCATCAAAGGAACATGGGACTCAGAGCGAGAGAGAAGCCATGTCAAAGGGATCAGAAAAGCCGAGCGATGCATGTTTCGGAGGTGGGAGCTTGTACCTATTGCAAACAGCACGGGAAGCATAGTTGTGGTTGTTGCATCCCGCACAGATCCAATCACCTTCTCTCCAGACTGGCCTGAAAAAAACACGGGCACAGATCTTAGTATTGAATCCCCTACCAAAAGCTCTTAAATGACGTTAGATGAACCATATTCCTGTAATAACCTGCCAAACATGAACCAAGACACACAGCTGATTTCTGAGTTTTGCTCATGGAGTGTATGCCTTACTTGGTTGCTGAGTTTTCTAAGTCTGGGTGGGTGCGGGTCTGCATGCCTGTCTGAGAGCCTGTCCGCTTGAGTGTGTGTGTGACCCGCTAGGGCACTTGTTTGTTCGAAGGGCCCGAACGGGAGGGGTACTTGCCTGCGACCCTGACACTGAGGGTTGCAGCGGGGCCCGCAACACTTAAAAGCGGAAAACACTCAAGTAGAAGGTTAGAGCTAGATGTGCCGGGTACGGGAGGCCGAGCAGAAGAAGACAAAAGTTGGCATTTTTAGAGGCCCAGTAGTTGTAGGGTAGTTCTAGGCTGGTACCAGTCCAAGCAGTCTGAGTCTAGAGCCCGTACGGCCTAGGAAGTCACACGGCAAGAGGCAAGCGGGTCGCTATATCTCCACGAGGGGCAAGGTGCTCCTCATTGTCGGTGTACAAGTAAACACATTGGTTGGAGCGCCGTCTGGAGCAGTGCTGCTGGTGAGGAGCAACGGCAGGAGGAAGAAAACCAGGACCACGAGGGAGGATCGCCAGAGGTACTTACCTGGCTATGGTGGATACCATCTTCATCACCTTGATGGGCGGTGAATCTGGAAGGCCCCCGTTCGGGTAGAGCTGCACCAAGAAGCTTTGAGGCAGACTCAAGCATGGCAGCCTGAGCTAGAGCAGCCATAGCTGCTTTGTGCTGTCCTTTCTTTGTTCTAATAAAGTAGATAGTTCCACTCCAGCAAATTTGTTCATTGCTCTCTTCTCACCCGGGAGTACATTTCTTTTTTACTAGTTCTATCCATCTCCAGGGACCCAAGGACTCAAAAAATCATAATAACGAAATTCTGGAGTCATTTCAATAGGCTCAGAAATCACACGTTTCTCTGAATCATCATATCGTACTTCCACATATCCACTTAAGGGAAAGTCTTTTCGTAACGGATGACCCTCAAAACCAAAATCTGTTAATATACGACGTAAATCAGGATGGTTGGAAAAATACACACCAAACATATCCCATACTTCTCGTTCCCACCAACCAGCTGCCGGAAATATTTTGAGTACTGAACAGATGGGAGTTATTTCATCTACATGTGTACCTACACGAAGACGTGAGTTATACTGCTGTCCTTTGCACAGCAGGGTGGTGACCTGGTAGTCCACCATAGCCTCGGACGTGAGAGGAGGAAGAAGGGGTGCCCATGGCTATCGTGGACCTCATGCGATGCCTGCAGTAGAAGAGGGATTCGGACATTGATTCTGGTTCAGCCATTCAACATTGTTATTATTATTTCTTGTTTGAATATGAAGGGAGGAGATAAGAAGCAGGAGAGTGGTTGGCGAAGAAGAAGGGAATGCTCATTGGTCTTTGCTGGTGTACCTCTTTTCTTCTTTCTTTCATATTCTTCTTCTTTCCCTCTCTCCGCTCAAGTTCATTCATTTCTTTTTGCAATTGGATGGCATTGTACTTTCTGATGAATGTGTACCTTGAAATTGGCAAGGACCATAACATTGGTATCAGAGCGGGTTCTACTTGCTGGCGAGAGTTCGTTTCGTCACTCCAACCCTAACCTAAGTGGAGGTCTACCACTTAAGGTTAGGGCTGGAAGCTGAGGGAAGCGGGGCAGCGTGGTTAAGGGAAGCTGCCCCCACCTGGTTAGGTCGTGTTGGGTCAACACTTGACCTAACTGGATTGTGTGAGAATAAGATTGGAGTGGCGACAGTGAGAGGCATCCACATCCGGAATCTGATTCAAGGGAGACACTTGGCGACTTTTGGGCTTCCCTCAAACAGGCAAGTTTGAGGAAAGCAGCCATGCTGCATCTACGGACTGCAAGTTGCTACTTTGTTCTTCAGCATCGGCACGGGATATGGCGTTGCACTTTGGTGTTGAGACAGACCCTCCTATTACATAGGACACTAGTGTAGGGGTCGAGTTAAAAGGGTCAGGAGGACCATATGAGAGGGGGGTGAGTTATATTCATCTCGAAGCTCAGGCCACTCAGGTAAGTGTCATGCACTTACGGGATGCCCATGTATGTGTGTGCCTGGTATTGATTGCCTGGTGCGGTTACAATGCGTTATTTTTCCTGCTCCTCTGAGGTCGTGATTTGTGAATCCGAGCATGCAAACTGTTTTCTCACCTGATGGATGAAGAGATGAGGTATCTTGCTTTGGACGTCATGTCTCTTTGTCTCTAAACGGATGTATAGACTGTAGGTTCTTTCTGGAGTTGAAATTCATTTTGGAGTTCGGTAGAGGCAGAAAGTATGTCCATGTGGGACTCTTCTTGGTTGGTACTTGGTCACAACCTACTTGGGACCTTCTGGGTACCCAGTGGGACCAGACCCAAGCAAGAAGGGCCCCTTAGACCCGAATCTGTTTGACATTAGATCATTCTCTTTCTGTCTGGGACGCAAAGTTTTATTCTTTGGTTAGAGCCCTCGCTGTTGACAGGATCTCGGCTGAGATGTTTTCTTTACCTTGATTGCACGGTCCGTAGCTTAACTCACACCTTATGCACCATTCAATTCTTCATTGTTGCATGTTGTTACTCGATGTTTGAATTTGCTGTACGGTCACGGGACTGATCGGATTTGACTTGCGGGGATCGCGTACTCGGTCTGATCAGGCTGAGACGCTGGATCAGAACTCTCATCTGAATTACTCTCTAGTCCAAATCTAATGTCGCTCCGGCTATGAGTTCTACCTTCTCTTCTTTGAGCTTTTCAGTTTGTTTCTTTTTCTGAATTTGTATTTCGACGCCCGTAGAGACTCGTGGCCAAAAGGAAGAGAGAGAGAAGGGGGAGAGAGCACCCGTCTTGAGAGAATTGCTGAAATGGCAGCAGTAAAGCCTTTTGTGGCCTTAAAGGCCCAACTGGATGCAGCCAACGAAGAGGACAAACCATTGTTCCAAGTCCTCTACACCAACGCACTGGAGAGAGAAGAGAAGGCAGAGGAGGAAAAGCGGAAAACCGCTGTTGCGGACCCACGACTGTTTTTTAAAGTCCCCTCCTTGCTCGACATTGAGGTCAAGAAAGATCTGGTCACATATGTGCGTGCTCTCATAGACTGTCACCTACTCAGTGAAATTCCTAGTCAGATTAAACTTTTTGACCAGGTAAGTGAATTGCGGATGCAAATTGCGGATATGGCCAAGGAGCGCAGTGATCAGATGCAGCAGATGGCAAATCTGCATCAGGCCCAGATCCCATATTTTATTCCTCTACCTTCTGCCTCAAATGCTGCTAACCAGTCTGTCCTTGCTCCTCTCCATGCCTCTACCTCTTCGTCTCTAAGTATGGTTCAATCGAGACCTGCAGTAGGCACAGACCCCTCTGCCGCTTCAACAAGTGACACCGAACGGATTTCTGCAACTGCTACAGCCTTGAGTCTATCCTTGCTCCTCTCCATGCCTCCTCCTCTTCGTCTCTAAGTATGGTTCAATCGAGACCTGCAGTAGGCATAGACCGCTCTGCCGCTTCAACAAGTGACACCGCAGGGATTTCTGCAACTGCTACAGCCTCGAGTTCAGACACACCATTTGCTGGTGCCAGTCATAGCAGTCTGTACATGGACAGAAAGGCGGTACAAATAACGTCTAAGTACCACGGCTAGGAAGAGTCCTGGATCAACTTCATGAGAGCCTACTTTGAAGTCCTCCATCATGGGGACTAACATCGAACCCCCCGTAAAGGGCTCTTTAGAAATCCAAGCTATACAAGCCCCATATATATGTTGCTTTTGTTCGTCCTACTCATGTGCCTTCTACTTTTGCGGCTAGTACAAATCCTATTTTGCCTAATGTGCCTACTTCTCGTATTTCTTCTTCTCCACCTACTTCTATTCCAAACGAGTCTACTTTAGATTCAACTACTTTACCAAAAATATATGACCTTATCTAGGTGATCCTTTTTCAGATCCCCCACCTCTGCCGATCTCAACAAGCATCCAAAGCCAACTCAACCTGTTTCCGAAAGTTGTGGCCGAACCCTGTGGAATTCCCACGAGATCGATCAAACACATGATCGAGTTCGTCAAAGGTGTTGTTCCCCCAGGGGGCTGCGTATACCACATGGGATCCGGTGAGTTGGAGGAACTCCGAAAGCAGATCGATGACATGATCGACAAGGGATGGATTAAACGTAGTGAATCTAAATTCAGTGCACCCATTCTATTTGTCCACAAGAAAGGAGGCAAACTCCGTATGTGTATTGATTACGGCGATCTAAACTTTGTGCATCCGTTCTATTTGTCCACAAGAAAAGAGTCAACCTCCGTATGTGTATTGGTTACAGCGGTCTAAACCGCATCACATCGAAGAATGCTTACCCATTGCCACGCATAGATGATTTGTTTGGTGTTGCAGGTGGGTGCAAGGTCTTTTCCAAGATCGACCTCAAAACTGGATACCACGAGATTGAAGTCGATCCTGCAAACCAGCACAAGACTGCATTCAAGACACACAATGGGCTTCACGAATTCACCATAACGCCCTTCGGTCTCACGAACGCACCAGCCACCTTTCAAAGTCTCATGGACAAGGTCCTCCGCGAACAGATTGGTCCATTTGCGATAGTGTATCTGGATGACATTCTGATTTTCGGCAAATCGATCGAGGAACACATGAAGCACCTTCAAGAAGTGTTCACCATCCTCAAGAAATTGTAGCTCCATCTCAACTTTAGAGAAATCCGAGTCCGGGAGCGACAGCGTCACCTATCTTGGGCACCAGTTGTCTATTGGAGGCCTTGAGCAGGAGGCAGTTGAGGCCATACGCAAGTGGCCTCATCTCGCGAACGTCTGTGAATTGCGTTCTTTTCTTGGTCTTGCATCATACTATTGGAAGTTTATGCCCCGATTTTCTTTCGTTGCTCA